AAAAAAAAAAAAAAAAAACAGTCATGATATTATATTGAAAATGCTCTGATCAAAACCTAAATCATTTTTCTTCTACTCTCCTTTTCTTCGATTCTCGTCTCTCTACCCTTTCCCTTACCGTCGTCGGGGTGGAGCAGCGGCGTCGCGCAGTTCTCCCTCACGGACGTTGGGAACTGCACTGCTCCTCCATTCCCCTCTCCCTCACAGACCACGTCCTCGAAGACCTGCTATCTCTTCTGCCATTCCCCTATCTTCTCCTTTCTATTGCGATCTGGTAAGCGTGTGCTGTGGGTGTGTGTACAATGGTGGAGTGGAGTTGTGGTGGTGTTGGGGAGTTTTTAGGTATTTTTTGTTGGTTGTGTAGGTAGATGGTGTTGGTGGCTATGGCGGATTGATTGCAGTTTTGGTGAGGTTGTGGGGGTGGTGCATTGTTGGGTGCGTTTGGTGGGGGGTTTTTGGTTATGGTTGTGGTCCAGTGGTTTCTGGCGGTGGTCGTGTAGGCGATGGGGACGTTGGTTATGTTGGTGAGGTTGTGGGTTGGGTATAGTTGATTTTGCAGTTGGAGGTGTTGACGGTGCGGTCTGTTTTGCTGCGACGGCGACGGTTACTGTTGATGGCTGCGGTGGGATAGAGTATGTGACCAAGAATTGGTGGTGGATCGGGATCAGGGGTTGAGTGTTTTGGTGTATGTGACTAACAATTTGGTTCATTGTGACTATCAAAACGTGATCTGAAAATTCGATAATTTATGACTAAAAAATAATTCGTGACCAACAAATTTGAAAATGTGTTACCAATAGATAAATTATGACCTATGATTTTTTTGATATGTAACCAATGAAATAAATTATGACTTACAAAATTTTTTATTTATGACCAATAAAAAAATTATAACCTATATGCGATCATTAATTATATGATTTTATTATATTTAATTAATAAAAATATTTTTAATTAAAAAGTAATTACTTGATTCTTGCATCTGAAATTTAAATTTGAAAATTTATGATCTTTCTCCCATTATCAAACCGCCCAGCCCACTAAATCTCAACCCAGGTCAATTTCCAACAGACCGATCATTTTCCATCAAGCCAGTAATAACCCATACTAGTGGCCCAAACTCAAAAAGCCAGGCCCGCGAGAAAGAAAAATCTTCAACTAGGAGTTGGGTAGGGGCCGCGCGAACGCAGGCCCCCACTACCACAAATTATGACGTAGGCTCGACCACTTGGGCCGACCTTAGACGGGCGCCCCTCCAAAGTGCAATGGAGGTCGCCAATCTAGGCCATGAACCTTATTGATCGTCCATCGACCCCGTCCAGGTAAGTATGTAAAACAATCCTACTACCTCTTATCTTATAGTCCTCTTCAACCCTTCTTCTTTTCTTTTCTTCGATGTGGGATTCCTGTCTATCAAAATCTCTCGTCTCCTTGCTTCCTTTGGGCTGGCTTCTCAACTCCTAGAAATTGTTCCGGTTCGTTTTATGTGATGCAAATTGATTTCTGGAGGAGTGTTTTTTTTGTTGTAGTTTAAAATTTTATCATTCCTGAACTGGGTTTTGGAATTTATTAAAGGTTGACAAATTGTTCATTTTGTTAATTCACCGTCCTTCCTATAACGAAATCGGAAATACCATCGATTTCTTGAGCGCGTGGCTGTGCTAAAAGCTACTTCTTTGGAACTATTTAAACTTATTGTGCATTCAATTTCTGCATGATTTCGTTTCTGCATTTATCATAATTGGAAGTTCAATACGACGTTTATACTGAATCTTTTTTATTGATTTTTTAAAAATTTTTTACTTGCCTCCACTAAGGTTAGAAAATAGGCAAATATTTTATTGTTACGTAACTGGTTTAACCCTCCTAAGTGTGTGTTTGTCTGCCATTATTGTAGAAGAAATGGATTAATGAATAGTTTTTTTTTTTTTTGGAGAATGTGTGGTTGAAATTTAAAGTAACGTTTGTGTGGATAATATTTTATTGGGTGAATGTGTGGCGGAGAATCTTATTGTAGCAAATAATGTTTTGGAATAATGGAAGACAAATGGGGCCTAAATGTGTTAAACTATAATGTCTGCAGGAAAATTATATAGGAATTCTTGAAGATGAATGTTTTGGTTGAAATTATCATTTTGGTGGAGTTAATTCAATGCTAATACACAAGGCTGTAAATAAATTTTTGAGGCTGAGTTCCCTAATGTCATAAGAATTTGTTCCATTTCTTTTCTTTGATAAAATGGAGCCTGAAATTTTGAGCAAAGGGGGCAATGAATGTTTCTCAACCATAAGAAGTTAGTATACATGTATGAATATCAAGTTTGTAGTTTTGAATCCGTTATCTTGCCTGAAACTCATAAGTCTGTATGAATATCAAGTTTGTAGTTTTGAATCCGTCATCTTGCCTGAAACTCATAAGTTGTTATATTGACTTCATTTATCAACGTTTGATACTCTTACTGCTGTTGTATCTTCTTGTTGTAATAATGGCTAAAGAAATTTTTGAACCACTCAAAGTAGCTGGTGATCAAGCAATGGATAACTTGTGAGATATGCACCAGTGGCTATGTTACTATGCCAGAAGACTTGTGTTCACGAAGAGAGAGAGTAGATGCGTTGTACATTTGTATGTACAGTTGTCCCCTCTTTGCTGTTTCAATATAGTTTTGCAATCTAATTCATGTTTTCTCTTTATCTGAAAATCCAATTCTAATGTGATCTTTTGTTGATATCTTCTGTAAGCTACTGGCTAGAAAACGAAGACGCTGAGCGATACAAAATTTGTCTTTCTGATATCAAGAATAGGCAGTTTTTTAAATGTATTTCTTTCTCTTCACTTTTGTCCATCTATCCTTTTATAGAGGACCTCTAGCTTGTTGATAAATTGCTGAACTTTGATGTCACGATTCTAACACTGAATATTTGGAAATGGTTTCTTGTTTATTCTTTTCGATGATGCTACTCTTGTTCTTTAGAGTAGTTTCTCGAATTTGATAACAAGGTTTTAGCATTATATCCTTGACCTTTGTGATTATTTTTTAAAATTTTCTATGTCCAAGATTTGCCTAATTATAAGTGTCGTCGCTCCCACTCTTGGAACATGTGACTCAGAACACTTGCTTCACTTTCAACATTTATAATCTTTTGGTGTTCAGTAAACATGATTTTATTTAGTGTTTTAAGCATAATGAACTCATAGAATGTTTTTTGTCCCAGTGTTGGTGCTGTGAATCTGTCAAACGGACACTTAGATTTATGTTGTTCCCAAGTAGATTTACCTTTGTCTTTGTTGCTTTGGAAACTTTTCATTTTCTTTCAACTTTCTAATGCTTTTTAAGAATGATATTTCCAATGGTAAGATTTAATTGTAAGTATATAATTTTGTTGGTCTTGCTGGGTGGTTTTTCCCCACCGTCAACTAGTTAAAGATTTTAAATAGGTCTTTTATGGTGGGATGTCTTTAAACATGGAGGATCAAGTTTTTTGCGTAGAAGTAAGTATGATATCCGGTTGAGTTTGTGATCTATGAATACCTGGAATTGCAGAAAATAATGGAAGGTGGGTGGGGGAAGGGTGCAGAAAGTTATGGAAAGAGTTGCAGATGTTGATACTGATATGGAATGGTAAAAGACAGTCGGAGTAATACAGAAAATTCCAATTAAACAGCCAGGATCTTAAATGGTTTAAGTTGGATAAATCTTATTAGTAGTGGCATGTCAATGAAATGGATGATGAGTTAACAAATTGTTCAAAAAACAACCAGTTAAGTATAAAAAGTTAACAAGTGGAAGAGTGGAAGAAGGTAAAGAAGCTTTTAAAAGGAACATGGCATTGTTAGTGATGCTGCCTTGAGCTCTCAAATATTATGAAAATATTGTTTACCTAGTTGAAAAAGTCAGATGTGGAGGTAGTAGCAAAAAATATGTAGATGTAAATTACATATGCAGGGCATATCAATGTGGAAGATATTATGTCTGTACACCTCCATCTCATCAATGTACCAAGAATGTTTGGCTGAGCTTTATTTATTGAAAGAAAAAACGCAAAAGCTACTTTTAAATAATTTTCTGTTTCCAATCATGATTGAAAGTAACTCTTACTTTAATGTCGAAATAAGCTACTTATTTCAATATTGCCTAATAAAATTTCTTATCTACTCATAAGTGAACTTTTCAAGCTACCAACTCAGTTACAGTCTACACTGAACAATTTACCAGCCCATTGTAGCATTGCTTTGCAGCTTTCAATACCTGCATGCTTGAAAATTATTGAAGTTTTAAAGAATTGTCTGAAATTAGTAATATGGGATGTGCTATATTAAAGGTGTATGCTAGTCATTTAGTGGTGATTGTTACAGATGGGTATTGGGACGGTCGATTCTTCTGATTGGGGCTCAGGCGGTTGCCCATTTGCCAAATGTGCTTCTGGAAATGTTGCTACTGAGGATGTTGTCTACATTAAATGGACTAGGAGTGAAGACAAAGTGAATCTCAGAAAGCTCATGTTGGCAGGAGAATTATCAGTAAACATTTGGGCTGGCCTGCTGGTTCTAAAGTTGCAATTGCCTTGAGCAAAACGACTGCTACTGCCTCCAAGCTTTGAGGTATTTTCTGATGAAACAACCTGAATTTCGCTAATGCTTACAAGTTTGAAGGTATTTTCTGATGAACTGAACAGAATTGAAGCTTTTTGTTTTATCTCCTGCGCAATACAGTCTTTTCATGGTTTTTTTTTTCATTTTTTTGGGGGTGGAGGGGTTAGGTTGTACGCGTTTGCTGCATGGCTTCGCACGGGGCTGATTTTGTTTACTACGAGACTTGAGAGACCATAATTGATTACATGAATAAGATGAAGAAGATTAACAAATAGAATTCAATGTTTTCCATGGCTTGAACCGATTACTGGCAAAAAGTTCACGAATGTTTTTTTTGTCATATTGGAAGGAAGTTAGTTGCAATATTGCTGATCCTCCTGCTCTTTAAGATAGAAAATCTTGTGGCAGTTCAGACTCATTTTTGCAGTTCAAGTTGAAGTTCCCTTAAACTTTTGGCTTTTGTGTTGATGCTTTAGAATGCGTCAGGACGAAAAAATTAAATAATTCAAATATATAATATAAAAAAATGCAAAAATATGCTCAATAATAAATCATAAATCATCTTAAAATCCATAATAAAATAAAATTAAAATTTTGACTTGCTAATGAACATAAAATAGATCGATAAGGTAGCAAGTAATAAGCTCTTGTTTGAGCCCTTTTTTCAAAAAAACTCATTATTTCAAAATTAATTTTCAACTACATGTTCTTCAATAAAATAATTTTACAAGTAAATCGAAATTTTTTCTTATTTTTTAACCATACATTATTCAAAAAAACCATTATTCCAAAACACATTTTTCCCCAAAATGGGGCTCAAACAAGGGCTAAGTTCTCAAATTACTAATTAGATAACAAAATTACTAGCCATAAAACAACTACTCTAGTCTTTCATCTGATTTCCTTGCCATCCTCCTTGTTGTCGCTATCGTTTTTTCATCATCATCATCATCATCATCATCATCTACTTATATTGAAGAAAATTAAAAACGGTGAGAAATTCTATAAAATGAATAGCCAAGATAATTGAGGCCAGTAACATAAAGCCCAGAAAAGGCGACAAACGAGTGCATCCATTAAATGCCACGAGGCATGAAGCGCTCGAGGTTTAAACTTTAAGCCTCAATTTGGAAGAATGCATGTACGATTTAATTTATATATAGGTAGAAATTAGTAGGGGTAGACATGGTTCTATTTGGTTCTGGCTTCAAGATAATCGAACCGAATTATGAACCAATGGTATAATGGAACAAATAAGTTTTTAAGATATGAAACCAAATCGGAACCAAACCATTCGATACTAGTTCCAATACTTAAATTTTCAAATATATATGAAAATTAAAATATATCACCATATTTATAAGTTAGTGATATATATCTAAATAAAAAAAAAAAAAAATCAAGTATTCAGCAAATGTAATGGTAGCCTAGATGTTGGAGTGCCAGTTTGTGTCTAAAATTGAAAAGGAGATAAATGAATTTAGATCTACGGTTTAGTCGCTTTGTCTGTTACATGATAGGTAAAATATAATGATCATTTTGTCCATTTCACACTTGCAAATTTTAAAGTTGGATTTTTTTGGTGTGATTTACTAATTTGTAAAAAGAAAAAAAAAATATAAAAAAAATAATAAAAATTGAGTTTGGTTCTTGGTTCTAGAATCAAAACCATTAATTTTTTTAATTTTTTATTTGGTAGAATCGAAACGAATCCCTCGGTTTGGTTTTGGTTTGGTATGGTCATTTCGTCCACCCCTAGTATTAGTGATGGATAAGTGGATACTCTTTGTAGGTCTATAATGACGTTTGACTATTTATAAATTTGCACCAAATGGAGGCTAAGGCATTCAATGAAAGCTTCACATGACACTAGGCTCAAGACGTTAGCTCGCAGATAACTTTTCAATACTATATTTACAACTCAACGGCAAATTTAACCTGATCTGTAATTTTCTTGTGCTTTCAACTAGTATTATTGAAGTTTAAGATTTTTCCACTGCTGCTTCAAATGAATAGTTGTTCTTATTATGATTTGTCCTTCTCTACAGCATAGTTGCTTTTGTTATGTGCAATGGCATAGTTAAGAACTGGGTGGTGGTTGGAAGAATGGTGATATTATGGCTCTTCTGCACTCTGCACTCCATTCTGGCCATTTATTGCCTTCTTTAACTGCACTGAGAAAATTGTCAGACCTCGGAATTTTCTTCTGAAAACTGCGAAAAATGCGTTAAATTATGTTGAATGCTCAGGACACAGTCAGGTATTAAGGGATGTCTGTCTTTACATAGAAGTGTTTTTTTTTTTCTATTAATTGTTTGTGAAATTAATGAATTTTCTGTATATTTAAGTTAGGGAAACACCACTTGTACAACTTCGGTTGACAACCTCTCACAGTGGTGGGTCCCACTGTGTTTAAAAAGTATAAAAAATTACCCACCCACCTTCACCCCATGTGAGTGGTTTTCAATCGGGTTGTACAAGTAGAGCTGTCCGTGGGTCGGTTCGGTTCTAAAGAGATCCGAATCGACCCAAAACTTTCGGGTATTTAATAAAGAGGAAATTAGACCTACCCCTACTTTTAAAATACCATTTTCATAAATCCTAATTCAAGTTTCATATTTCAAAAATCAGGTTTTAATCATTAATTTAAAAACATTTTTTATTTTTATTTTTCTATTTATCTACAGTAAATTAATTTATATATAACGATTCAGCCAAGTCGCTACCGTTCAGCAGTCGTTGCTAAACGCCAGATTTTTTTTTTTATTATTATTTTTTTTTGAGTAGTAGAATGGCAGTGCAGTGGGTGTGCGAGATTTCTGTGTTTGGAGGCGGATCTGTGTGTGGGTGGCGTATCTGTGGGTGTGGCGGCGAATCTATGTGTGTGGGTGAGCGGTGGTTGGTTTTTTTTTGTCTGTGACCTAGTTATTGAACCATGGTGTTTTTTTTTTGTCCGTGACCTAGCTTTTTTGGGTGTCTGTGACCTAAAAATTATTAATTGTGACCTAAAAATTGATAAATTGTGACCTAAATAAATATTGTGACTATAAATTTTGGGATCTGTGACCGATGAACAAGTTGTGACTTTCAAATTTCTAAGTTGTGACCAATAAACAAATTGTGACCTATGAAAATTTTGAATTGTGACCTGAAAAAAAAATATGTGACAAACTAATTTTGATCTGCGACCAACTAATTTTGAAATCTGTGATCAACGAATTAATTGTGACCTAAAAAAATGTTGAGCTGTGACCGGAATTTGTAAATCTGTGACCGAAATAATCGCCGGAATAATTGTCGGAATCAGAGAAGTCGCCGGAACGGTCGCCGGAAAAAGTGGTGGTCGGAGTGATCGTCGGAATAGCTCCCGGGGGTTTGTGGGGTGGGTTAATTATATTATATTATATTAGAATTAAATATTTAATAATAAATTGATTTAATAATTAATTATTTCATTAAAAAAAAACCTGATTTTTGAATTTTCATATTATAAAGCTGATTTTTGAAATGTGTAAAAATAAAC